TACACACAGTTACTTTTTATAATAACATAACAGTCGGTGTCGGTTAAAATTGTAAATTTACTGGAAACGTGTTTAGATTAATTTATTTAAAAATGACAAACTATTGAAAAAACGTTGGATTACTATACATATAGGTATATTGGAGTACCTATATGGAAAACAAAAGGTAAATCATAGATTATTTAAAGAATCGATTAAAATAATTATAGACAAGCTAAGTATGATAAATAATTTATGTCACACGAATATACTTATACGATTCTCCGTAAGGGTTTCTCTGTCAGTCTCAATTTCAATCAAATCAAATACCCAACATCTAGATTATAAAATATTCAAGACTTCATATTCAATCCTCGTAATTACATACTCGTGAATGTTAAATTTATTTTATTTCAGAATCTTAACGTCTCGGTCCAATTTAGGGTAGAGAAGGATAAAGGCTAGTTTCTTATGTTTTCTTAGTTACGATTAAACTCAGTAAATAACATAATACGAATACAATCCAGCTATCACAGTGAATATATTATGTTATGTCTGCCAAAAGTTATAAAAATAATTTGAATAACATTTTAAGACTTGTGAACACGATTCGTAATATAAAAATACCGTTATCAAACGAGGTTTAAATCGGTGTATCCAAATATTTCGCGGATGCGATAATTTTATTATAACCTTGGCGGCGAATACTCTAGTTACAAAATGTGTACAAATTGACACAAACCATATACTCAGATAAAAATACCTACAGAGCATTATAATATTGAATTATCCGTGACGGTATAAAATATAAATATATATTATTCATTAATAACTAAAATATGAGACATGCGTATCGTAAATGCGAAAATATTTACAAAATCTAAGAAAATGCTATATTTGTACCCTTGTCGGAAACCGACCACCCAGAATTTAAAGGGATGATCGGATTTTGAAGCATGATACCATGTTAAAAAAAATACCGAGGTGATCTCCACTTACCTTGTGGGTACCTACTTATCTTGCTAGAACTGGGAACAATTTCTAACAATTCTCTACTTTATAACTCAGAGTTCAAAAATCTTCTTGCGACTGTGACTTTTTTATATATAGTTCCTTTTATCCACAATCAACACTAATTATAAACTCATAAGTGTGTCTGTCAGTTTGTTCTTTAACTTTTCATGGATTGACAATGGACAAACTTGGAATCACTTTACAAAAAAAACTCAATGGCATTCAGCATCTTGCTGTAACAAGATGTTCCGCTACTTTGGTTGTTCGCAGGATTAAGCAATGTACCCATGTGGATACTGTGAGATAAGTGTACTTTAGTTATTCTGATAGCTTAATCTCAAATTGAATTTTCTTATGAGGTATAGCAGCTGATATACGGATATATTACAAAAACGTGCTCTTCGTGCAATTTACTGTTGTATATGGGAATACATGATTTATTAAGAGAAATAATACAAATAATTGATTTTAAACTGAATGAACGAATCTTAGTGATATCTGACGAAGATAAATTGGTATCTATAGCATCTGCTTATGGACTTTGCAGTATGTTGTGACAAATATTGTCATTGCACAAATAACATTTAAAAAATATTTTTTTAATTACAGTTCCGGAATGTACTTTGACGCTTTTATGGGGTTCCAAAAACATAAGATGTCTAAAACTAAATTGACGACTCGCTGAAACAAACTCGTTAGGTTACTACATTACAGTTGCCATTTATATAGTCAACTCTATTAAAGCATGAAATCGATTTACGATTACAGAAATATAAACATGCATGCATTGCACCTTTAATAACTGTTTGATTGAGAACGGTGGATAAAAGTAGCTATTATTAAATTAATTTAAACTGTGACTATCCTTAATCAGCTTGATTTATTTGCAAGAAAATCAATTTTGTTTAAGTAGAATTTACTGATATGCACGTACATGTAGTTTAACATATATATATTGTTAATCATGCGTTAACTTAAGGTTAACGTATTAAAACATTTTTCTTTCTTTTGTTCGGATATGTAAGGACGGTTTAAAAAAAGTTAGTGAAACTCTAAAATACAGTTGAAAAATAAAAAAATAAATTTAGTATGAAAAAGGACGCTCAGTATTTTAATTCCGATCACGCCCATAAAAGCTGTACAATAACTAGTTATTTTGTAACAATACAAAGCATTGCCACTTGTCAAGTAAATGCACGTAATGTTCAATTTTGATTGGTAATGATAATCTAAATGAATATAACAATATATACCCAGCATTGGTAGCAATCACAATGTACTCTGTAATATCCATGCTTCTGTTCATGGTTTAGTGGTTTCCCATATTCCACCATGTGGGCTGTGAGCTTGTCGAATCATCCTCACTGGGCTCGAACAGATCAGCTTTCTATTTCGTTAGCAAGTGACGCCTCCGCGCGCTATGCCTTTAAGAGTATGGTTGACTGACCACTAGTCATGAATAGTGAAAATAAGTGAACAATTGTACAGAAACTACGAATACGCTTACAAGATTATTTACAACTAGCTTTTAACGGCGACTACGTACGCATGGAAATTTTTATTTCTACATTTACAAATAAAATCTCTAAATTAAAATAGTCTAAGTGACTCCTTATAAGTACGGCATATATTATACTTTCATATGCATTCAGTGAAAAGCTTTTAGATTGAAATTAGAAACAGACACTTAAATTTAATTTATTTGTATAGATAGCTAGTTCAGTTACTTTAATTTTAAACTGCATATAGGTACGTTGATTTATTGAGAATGGCTCGAGCCATATAATTGAATTGAGTTATTTTGTGGAAGTCCATTTCATTACGATATTATTATTTTCGGTTTTCTGTAGTAGTGTAACTGCGGAACAGTCAACATTTATCAACTTTTTAAGAAAAGAATTGACCGATATAATTAACGTTCTTTATTTATTAGTAACTGTAATGGCAAACTACACGTAATTCGCAATTGAGTTGCGATAACTAGATCGCCACATTGCCGTCGAAATGAGACGGCACAGCGACTGCGACGTAATTTTATTAATTGTAATCTATCAAACTATAAGATAAACACCTTATATTGACGTTCACATACCTGCTCCGATCGATTCAAACAGGGTTCGAAATTACGACAGCCTAGTTAGAAATTCGGCCTCCTAGTATTACCCTCCGAATAAAATCGTAACTGTAAGGCATGAACTGGCCTTGAGCGGGTTTGGAGTTCCGTCTGCACTCGCCTTATGATTCGGTAAAGCAGTAAAGGTCAGCTGCGGTCAACAGCATTAAAATAGTTGAAAAATATGCTTAAGTCCGTTTAGCTTCTATAAATTAGTACTATCAGCAGTATGTTGGCGTCGCATTACCGTCCCACCCCGCTTCAAGAAGCAAAAGCAATCAAATTTAAAAAATATGCTTGCTTTGCCAATGGTGTTTCGGTTGTAGGGTAGTGTTAAGCAGTGAAAATATAGGATAGCAGCTAGGCCATCTTAGTCCTGTGGACGGGTAATGAGTGTCACATTATTACAGAGTTATATATTATTTTTAAGTATGTCGAATGGTAAACAAGTCTTGCCTGATGTTAAACGATAAATATGTAGTATATAGTAATGATTCCAGCATTTACTTTCCTCATAACAAAATTCATTTATTTTAGATTTAGATATAAATTAAGCATACCAATGATTGTTATGGTTCAGCGCTCCCACATTACGATTACCACAGAATATGTAATAGTCATTATTACAGACCAATTATGTATAATTGTACATAGTGATTATAGTTACTCACCTTGATATTATACCTGAATATAGAATGTAATGTATGTAAATATAGAAATACCAATCTCAAACTTACATAGTTTAAATATGTATTATAAATTTGTACTAGAAGACAACAAAAAGTATTCGACAATGGAGAGTCAAGTTAAGTGTTAAACATATATTATAGGTATTTATAATTATTTATATGGTTTATTAATTTGTAAGTAATAAGTTTTTAACTGAGTTGATTTAGAATTATAATTGTTTTTATAAGGATAATGTTGAATTTTGTAAAACATAGAAATATAATACTACTTATAGTTCTAAGTTAAATTCAACATATTTTCTAATTTTGTATTATTTGTGTCTTCTTACTTTATTCTATTTGAACTTATGGGGAAAAAAGTCCTTTACAGAAAAGAGCAAAATTAATACTCATAAACACCAAATGTTTGGGAAATTAATCCTTAAAGATTGATAGATTAAGAAGCATATTAAAACACTATAACACCAAGGTCATAGATGTTTAAAGAAATATAGACAATAAACTATTCAAGTGTACTGATATTGATTTCCTGACACTTTCTTCACAGTTATAAGGCTTCACAGTTTCAAGGCTAACACATAAAAAATACACACAGCAACATATCAAACAGTACACACTCCTTTGAAGTAATGAATATGTATTAATAGGAAGCCATGTAATATGTAGATTATTTTTATATATTATCAAAGGTTTTTGTCCACCTTTTAAAAAATCAAAACAATAGGATGTACAAATAAAGTAATGTACCATTTGGTAAATAATAAAAGTTGTATAACCATAGAGCTGGTAAACTAAACATTTATATATACATTTATTTGATCCTGTGACTTTATCCGAGAGAGATAAATGATAGCCTCTACACATCCTGATAGTACAATCTATCTTAACATAAAAATTAAAAAGATCTGTTCAGCCGTTTAATGTTTAATTGTGGAAATGAAATATAAAATTTAACAAGCAGACAGACAAAGGACTCTGTCTGTCTGTCAGACACTTTCAAATTTGTAATATTAGTTTGGATAGCTATGAAAATCAGAGAAATTATGGCCTATGATACTGTTGTGTATTATAATGTTAGTCTGACATAAAATTACAACATATTGTTTCATTGTTACACTATTACATTTTTTTATTTAATTTTAATTAACATAAGCATGTCCACTTATTAGCATACTAGTCATTTAATGTGTAATCATAACACTCACCTCTTTCACAGTTTCCAATTTATTTTTGATGTCTGGATCTACACCAGACGCCAATGCAACCACCTCATATTTATCAGACCCTTCTGCTTTATGTCCTGAAGGAAATACATTCCTATCACTATCCTTCTTAGCAAATGCTGGCTCTTCAATAGCGTCCACTGGGGGTTTGCTTGGTCCTTTAGAAGACGAAACTGAAGGAGCCAGATCAAACTGTGGTCTCTCCAACACTTTCATGCCCATATCCTCGTCTATTTTAGCCCGTAAGCGGATTCTGTCCTCCACTATGTGTGGATCGTCACCTTCTTCACCGTGCCGTACAATACCCACCACGGGGAATTCTCCAACATCATTTTGCGCGAGAGGAGGTGGCATAAGCAACTCAGGTCCCGCTTTCTGTATGCGTTTGTACACTTTATAAACACTGTCATTTACACTATTGGAACTTTTGAACTCTGGTAAATAAAATAATGCTCCTAACCACACGATTGCGAATGTCAAAAGTACAGAAACAATCAAATATTTTTCTCGGAGGCGGAATGATCGCCGTGATATGGACGGGACGGGCACTCCATTCACAAACCGTTGGTAAGAGGGCAAAATCCCCGTCATATTTACGTAAAATAGTCCCTATTTGTATAAATCTACATTAATAATGTCAATTTTATTCGGGCAAACAATCCTATAGTTCATCTGCAGTAGTCAACGCGAACTGCCAAAGTGTCAACTGCCAACTTGATTTTTTTTTTTTTTTTTTAATAATGCTTTATTCATGACCATGGATACAAGTCCTTCAGTCGAATACATTTTTATAATGAATTTAATACAAAACATAAGAAATAAACTATTATATAAGCTTAGACAGTACAATTTTAGTAATAATTCATTAATATTAAATTTTTTCCACAGTATGTACAATGTAGTTATATATTGGAATAAAATATGCAAAGTGAGATAGCAAATCTTGAACGCGGCGGGGAATACTTTGTGAGTGTTCCTTTGCGATGTCACTAATGTCACTGACAAGAATCAACCGTTGTATGTTGAAAACTTGGCATTCAAATATAATATGGTTTATGTCAGCATTTATCTTGAAACAGTGGTTGCATCTGTTGTCATTTGTGATTTTAATTCTGTTGAGATGGGATGGAACTAAACAATGGCCGAAACGTAGACGATTGATGATAGTGATAAATTTTCTATTGTAATATTTGAATTTGCTGTACCAAGGTGTCACTGGTAAGTCTGGCTGTAATTCTGCATACCATTTTCCTTTATTTTCTGTGGTTATGTTCCAGTACTCTTTCCACACTCTTCGTAAGTTACTTTTAAAATATTGGTAGTAGTCGGTAAATGGCACTTTCAAAATGTCTGTCTGATCTTCATCATATTGTTGACGAGTTGCCAAGTCTACGACCTCATTTCCAGGTATGCCACTGTGTGAGGGTACCCATACAAATTCTACATTCTTATTTTTACTTAAAGTTATTAACCTATTTTTTATTTCATATATAATATAATTTTGTTTATATGTACAATTGCCACTGGATAAAGTCTCCAATACACTCTTGAATCAGTAACTATTAGTATATTTACATTATTTACAAGGTTATTAACATATAACAAAGCACTTAATATAGCATAACTTTCGGCTGTAAAGATGCTGCAATTACTTTTGAGTTTAATACATTTAGTATATTTCTTTTGTGGATCATAATAAGCTGCTTTAACATCATTTAAATTTTTTGAACCATCGGTATAAATAACATAAAATTCTGATTTCTTATTTAAAAATTCTGCAAAGTCATATTTGTTATATATTAAATCTAAATGAAATGTAGTGTCAAGGAAACAGATTAGTGAATCATATGGACATTTGTATACTGGCCATTTGTCATTTATATATATTCCACCTGTAGCATTTTTAACATGTGTCATTATTATTGAGATTTCAGGTAATGATCCTGAAATAATAACAGATGCTGATATGGGGGAACCTACAACTAACTGAGAAAGCTGTGCAGGATATAAAATATTTTTAAGCACAATACTATTACTGGAAGATAATTCCTTTATACAAAATCTTTCTGCCAGTTGTAAACGTCTTAGAGACAATGGAGGTATACAATTTTCAACTTCCATACTATTTATAGGTGTGGAACGCATAGCTCCACTAATGATTCTCAACCCTATATTTTGTATAACATCTAATTTCCTCAACAATGTGGTACTAGCAGTCATATAGGCTAAACTACTATAATCAAAATGACTTCTGACTATGCTTTTATACAGTATATTGAGTGTTTTGGGATCAGAGCCCCAGTAAGTTCCTGCTAAACATCTCAAAATATTTATGCTCCTCATTGCATTTTGACAAATGTAATCTATATGTTTATCAAATTTTAATTTATTGTCCAAAACTATACCTAAAAATTTGTGTTGATGGACAATGGGTATTATTTTGTTATTATACATAATTTTAAGATTAGTTTGTGTGAATGTATCTCTACTAAATACTAACACAGAGCTTTTTTCTGAACTGATTTCTAGTTTTAGAATATTTGAATAATACTTTTGTAATTGATTTAGTGCAGTATTTATATTATTTATAGCCAAAGGCAAACTTTGACTCTCAGTGTATAAAAGCAAATCATCTGCAAACTGTAGTATGTTAACTTTTGTAGTATCCACATAATTGAGGATTTCAGATGTATACAAGCCATACAATAGAGGGGACAGGGTTGCTCCCTGCATTGTTCCCCTGTTAACATATTTAGGTCCATGTAGGATATTATTATACTTAACATAAACAGTTCTGTTTTTTAAAAAATTAAAAATCCAGTTTAATATTTTGCAGGGGAAATTTAAATTATGTAGGACATGAATTAAGGATTCTATATTTACATTATCGAAAGCACCTTTAACATCTAAAAATACACACACAACATTGGAATGACTTAATTTTGCTTTTTTTAATAGGGATATAAGAGTTACAAAGCTTTCAGAACAACTTTTGCCTTTTCTGAATCCAAACTGAATATCTGGCAACTTATTCTGTGTTTCAGTAAAGTAGTCCAAACGTAATTTTAACATGTTTTCAAATAGTTTGCCTAGACACGATGACAAGGAAATGGGCCTATAAGATGATGCACAGTTAATATCCTTATTAGGTTTCAAAATTGGAATAACACACTGGGTTTTCCAGGATTCCGGTATTATTAAATTCTCCCAAAGTTTATTGTATATATCTAATAGTATTTTAATTGCATTTGGATGTAGCTGTTTTATTAATTTATATGTAATATTGTCCAAACCTGGTGTTGTATCTTTCCTACTCTTAAGCGAAATATGAAGCTCGGCCAGTGTAAAGGGTCTGTTGAGAAAGGAGTCACTGTCATTTTTATCAGATTGATTCAATATATCAACTAAATTTGCATCATTGCATTGTGATGGAGCTGTCAACATATCTAAGAAACTTTGTACCCAGTCATCATTAAAATTTTTGTTGGAAGATGTACCTATCCTTTTAAACTTTTTAATGGAACTCCATATTTTTGAAATAGGTGTCATTCTATTGAAGCTACTACACAACTCTTGCCAGGAATCTATGCGTTGTTCCTTTAGAATTCTTTTTTTTTTAGCATCAACTTTTTTATAATTTATGAAGTTAACAATTGTTGGGGTAACTCTATATTGTAAAAGGGCTCTCTTAGACTGTTGAACAGCATCATCACATGTTTTGTTCCACCAAGGCACTGGTTTTCTTAAAGTGTGTATAGTTTGTTTAAACTTTGATTTTGGTACTGTCTTGTCTCTGATGTCATATAAAATATTAACAAAATTATTATAAAATTGTAATGGTGTGTCATTATTTACATTATTATGTACATTTAAGTGGAAAAAAATACTTTCTGATAAAGAAAAATATTTCGACCAGTCTGCTTTATTATATAAAAATTTTTCTTCTACAGGTCGGACCTCATACACTGATGGCCTCACATTTACACTTACCTGAGTTGGATAGTGATAGCTGCCCATCGGGTCATCATGGACTTTCCACTCACAGAGAGGAGCTATTCGGGGACTAACTAATGTTATATCTATTGCTGATGCCTGCCTGTTTGGATGATTTGGTGATTGAATGGTGGTTGGACTACCATCATTTAACACACATAAGTCAAGTTCATCTATGAGATTGTATATGTTATTACCTCTACTATTGTTTGTATGACAACCAAACAAAATATGATGTGCATTAAAATCACCCATAATGAGACATGGCTTAGGAGCACTAAGTAGAACTTTTTTCAGTTTGTTGGTATCAAATCTTCCATTAGGAGGACAATACACACATAGTATGTTTAATTTGCCTATGGATGTTTCTATTGCAATACATATATTCTGAACTGATTCATAAAAAGTAGTAGTTATGATATTATATTTAAAATTTTCTTTTATTAAAATACCCACTCCATTGTGTGTATTTACTGAGTTTTTGAATATGAAATTATAGGATGTAAATTTAGGAATTTTACTGTTACTTTTAAGCCATGTCTCATTAATGAGACAGATATCAATATTTTGTTCATTCATGTATTTTTGCAACAGAGCTTTTTTACTCTGTAAGCTTTGTATATTAAACTGGGCTATATTTAAGTATGTATTCATTAAATTAAATTTGACAACAATATTTCTTTTATTGTCTTATTAGTTATTGACATTTTCTCTTTGTTGTTACCGAGAGCAACAAGAGATTTAACTAATGCATTAATTATAATTTCATTATTTACAATTTGATCTGCATTGAATGCAGTATTATTATTATTTACATTTTGTTTAAATTGTGAATTATATACATTTAAAGATTTCTCTAAAGTGGGATATACTTTTGGGGTTGTACTACTTGAGGGCATACTCACAACAGCGGCATAGGAGTGATTGACATATTTACTTCTTTTTTCTTCAATTTTCTTCTTTTTAATGGGACAATCTCTCGAAATTGCTAAGTGGTTACCACTACAATTGATACAAACGATTTCTTCTACATCACATTCTTTGTATGAGTGTTGACCAGCACATGATGAGCACATCTGTGAGCTACGGCATACTTTAGCTGAATGGTTAAACTTCAGACATTTGTAACATTGGACTAATGGTGGAATATAAGTGTGTACAGGATATCTAAATAATTGTATGTAGGCATATTGTGGTAAAGTGGTAGCTGCAAATGTGACGGCTACAGTGCCCAATGGAGATAGTTTTCCCTCTACTTTTTTCATAAAACGTTTGATGGATATCACTTCGGTATCACAACTAATACTTTTATAAATATCTTCGTTGGACATGTCTGTCGGTACGTATCTTATGATACCAGTTTTTTCTGTGATATATGCTGGTACAAAAGCCTTGAATTTATACTTGTTTAAAAAATTGTCCATTTTTAAAAAATTATTGGCTGGTGCGGGCTTTCGAAAGGTCACACCTATTTTATAGGCGTTTACTCTGTGTACACCTGCAATGCCTTTCACATTTTCGGTGAATAACTTTGTTAAAGTAATGGGGTTTTTATTCCCAACTTTTTCATTTTCTGTAGATTCTACATAGACAACACAATCTACACTATGATTTTCAGGAAACTGTCTTTTGTAATTGGGTTTTGTATACATTTTATAGTCCTCGGATATAATTAAATGATTCGGCGACATCTTCCGTTTTTTGCCGCGTTGACTTTTTCCACGGTCGACGGGGTTTCCCCGTCGCTACTATCACTCATTTTCTTTGCTTGATTTATTATTTAGGTATTTACAATAAGATATACAATATTTACAATAAAATTACAATTAAAATAAAAAAATCAAAAAGGAGAAAATTTAAAACACCCGCTCAATTTGACTTCCCGCCAAAAAAAAAAAAAAAAAAAAAAAAAAAAAACTGCCAACTTGAGACTTTTTCGGGTTAACGTGTCTGTGTACAGTTTTCTACCACTTAAATTATAAATAGATAATAACTATAATTTCGCATTACGCGATATAAATCATTGTTTCTTTTGTTTTGCTTAATTTTGTTATAACTCATGAGATATTCCCACTTAGGACTGAAAAATCGTAAAACCTTTACTAATTTTTAGAATTATTACTGCAGATTACTAACGTTGACATTCGTGGTGGATCCATGAAAAAAATACATAAGTGTATTTTTCTTTAATTGTTTTTTTTATTGCTATCGCTATATCAGTATCTATATTACAGTGACGTTCGTTATGTACCTGCTCATTACAATTATTTTGACATTGAATTTCTATTTTTAGGACTCTACTTATATTAATTATATCGTGTATTTACTTATTTTTAGTTTTCAGTGCTTACCCAAAAGTTTTAGTGTGACCCCAAAACTAAATCAAATTGAATATTTTAATGTATTATATTTCTCGAAACTGTTATTTAATTTTAGTTAGTTAGTCAATTGTATAATTGACAGACTTAAGTCATAATATAACAGTTTATAGTGGTCATTAAAATGTTAATAATACATATTTTTACATCTAAGAGCAACAGTATAAAAGAGTTCTTCTTGATAAATATCTACTATAAATACCAAATACAACAACTTTATGGCAACATTTGTAATATTTGTAGTAATAGCGACATCTCTACAATTTTGTGAACATTACGAGTTCATAGTCTTTGCTTTTATTTTCTTACTAGTACTTTTGAGTAACTTAAGTTTTGAACACTATTGTACTGTAGTGAATCTGTCTTAGTTTTCGTTAAATAATAAGAGTACATATCTAGAAATTAATATTAGACTCAGTGGATAATAATGAGGTAAAATAAACAAATCGAAGAATCACTACTATAAATATTAACTCTAATTGGAGTTGATGACGCATAACAAAATTATTACAATCCTTCATAGTAATTCTTAAAATTTGTTTTATATTTAACAACATTTTATATATAACAACAACAACATATGACAGTGTCGTCTAGTCAGACTTAGTTACCCCAAAAGTCATTAGTTCAATATCTGGCATACCTACAAAGCTTTGAGCGTCAGTACCTATATATTTCTGAGTAGGTAACTCTCCGATGATGGAAACAAATAGAATCCAAGAGGCCATAGTATGCTTCTCCTCCCTGCTACATTGCATTCAAATATAGGTAGGTACCTACTCAGCGAAATGCTGACATTTCTATCGTTGCGTTCACCAGCAGTCGACAGATGACAATGATTCTGAATACTTCAACTGCGATAATTGTCATGACTTCTGATGACGGTATATTTTATGTTTTATACATAAAACATAATACAGCTGATTATCTTTATAGACTAACCATTTGTGGCTCTGTCCTAAGTATTATTTGTCCCCATGTTTCTTGAGAAGGCAGGACATGGTCTTAAGCCACTCCCTAATTTCCTCCGCGCGTTTGTAGTGCCTTCCGCTGATTACTGCTTAGAGGCATTAGAATGGTTGGAAAAATTGATTTTAGCGACTATATTGTTACCGCTATTATTTATGTTTGTGTTTGTAATGTAGCAGCAGCAGGAAAGGAGATGAAGTGATAAGTACAATGATTGCTATTTACATTATGTATATTAACAAAATATTTACAATGAATATATATACAAGAAAGATGATTCGGTCTCGAATGACAAGCTTGTTATTCTTCTTGCCCCATCGTAACTAGGCAACGGTGTTGCCGCACGATGATAGTAGATTCGCCACAGGATTAAGGTATTAATGATTAAATTTGTAAATGTTGTAAAGGTTTTACAATTTCATTCCTATTTGCTCAGTTGTATAATACCTACCTAAGAACATTAGTCCACAGCATCCTGCCTCACCCTTAACGACAAGCTGCTATTATTGCCAATCAGCCATTTTTTAATGCAATGTAGATGTATCTGTCGATCTGTGGCAATACTTGTCTGCTTTTAATATTAATCCATACTATTATGTGACAATGACGGCCTCGGTGTTCTAGCGGTATAGGACACCGATTTTCTTCCGGTGATCGCGGGTTCGATTCCTCGCACGGTACAAACATTTGTATTCATCAGTATGATTGTTTGGATCGGTCTGGGTGTATTCTATATTTCCAAAAAAATCTAATTATTATATCAGTCTCCTAGTACCCATAACAAAAGCTCTGCTTACCGTGGAACTAGATGGCGCTTTGTTAATTGACCAAGGTTGTAATTATTATTATTAATAAATAGTTAATCGTTCAAATTGGGGGAAAGGCGATTGTTGATTGTAGCAATGTGGATTAATAACCCTATTGCTAGTAATGTACCATGCCAGGTTGACCTGCTCGGAGTGCCCCCTAGAAACGATCGTGATAAATTCCTAATGAATTTATGAAGGGCTAACTGACCTGACATCATGCACATCTTATCATTCTCCACTGGTCCTGCCGGCGTAAGCCATTAGCGCAGCCAGAGGACCATTCCATTACATCCATTTAAAAAACCATTGAAGTAAAATGTGCGCAGATACATCAGGTAGGTCACCAACCAGGTGAATTTCTATTACATGTATTTGTATAAGGATGAAATAAAAGACCTTTTTATAATGTTATATATATATATTTCATTCAATGTATAAAATGTATCATTTTCTGTTTTGTATATTAATATTTACATTACTTATACGTTTTAAATAACGTACCTATTTGAGTTTCACCTATAAGTACATCACATAACTAAATCTAGTACAATTCTCAAATGAGATCAGTCGTATCTATTTTTATAATACGTTATTAAGATTTTAATATTTACATTACATTAATAATTCAATTAAATATCATCTATCTAGTTCATTCCAATTTTTTAAGAGCAAAAGTCGCCTTTAAACTATGACGACAAATTATATGCTATGAACGTGGTTTGAATCTTGACATATAAAAATCGCAGTCTGGACAATATAACGATGGAGAACATACTATTTTTTTCCTACACAAATTACATAATGTCTTTTGTCCTAACGCTGCACTTTTCAAGCCTTCTCCATTATAATAACTATTCCCATTCATTTGTGGGGGTATAGGTGATTCGGTGCCGCCTTTTGTCCCAGGCTCAAATGAAACAGATTTCTTTTGTAACGGTTTTGGTTGTGGCGTTTGATCATAAACGTTGTAATTGTTTTGCGCGAGATACTGCTGTTGTAAGTATTGATTATCAATATTATTTGCATTGTTTTCTATATTGTAAGGCTGATTGTACATAGGTCGCTGCTGTTGAGAATTCGCGTAATGCCTAACGTCGTGTGCAAGTGGTTGATTGGAATTATTATCAAGGTAATTATTTGAAACTTTATTAGTGTTACTATTGTAATTATCTACAGGCGAGTCTCCATGGGGAGGAGGAACTCTCTGATATAACATAGCCGCACCGTAGTGGTTGTTTGTACTATTCACCGGGTATCGACTAGAATACTCGGAGCTAGCGTAGTTTGTCGGTGGGTTGTGGTAGCTCTGGTAAGCCGGCGAATTGGTGGGTACACTTTGGTACGGCGAAGTATTGCTTTGCATGCTTTGATTAGGTTGCCGATTTGTATTATAGGTGTTGGTGGGAGGCGATGTGTGCTGCGGTAACCTTGTATCTCTTTGATAGCTATTGCCGTTTTGCGCTGGCGTTGCTTGATGCATTTGATTGGGTGGGTGCGGATATGTATTAGGAACAGACCTCAGTAAATGCGCGGGCACATAAGAACTGTGTCCAGTAGGAGTCAGTCTACTCAATGAGTTTAGACTATACATCGGTGGGGTAAGATTTTGATTTGAATAGGCTGACGGTGGTTGATTGTACGGTATAGGATTAGTTACATTTTTTGGTACTCCAGCTGATATAGGTAGATTTGTATTTGTGCCGTTTATATTGTGTGAGGGTAGTGTAGAAGGAGGAAGTTTTTCATATATACCTGCTCTTTTTGGTGCTCCAAGTGGTTGCTGGTGTGACTGTGGTGGCGCTTGATATGGTACATAAGTCTCCTGTAGTCTTGAGTAGTCGTTATGGTCATTGTCGCTCTGTGCAAAAGAATTTTGTGATGATGATAATGTTGTGGATCTTGATGACTGACTATCAAAAGAATCTTGTCTTTGAAGCGTAGACTTTTCCGACTGTAAAGGCATTATAGTCATTTGTCTTTTATTCATTGCAGATTTTAAAACTCGTTCCAATATTGGATTAGGTATATAGTTATTATCCTCTTCTTCTTCAGCTTTAGATGATACTATGACTACGTGGTCGCAGAAAGACACTGATTTCTTTTTAGGCTTATCTCCAAACGTAGACGATATCGTAGTATTAATAGACTGCTGTTGGTCATTATATTCGTCTTGTAACTGGTTAGGATCTATTGACGACGATGACGTACGTCTATTATACATACATGCGCTGGATTGATTAGCGCAATTAATAACATCTCTATTAGCTCTCATATCCACAAAACCAATATGAGACCGTTCTACATCTGGCGCAATATTTCGGCCAATATTTTCAAACATCTGAGTATTATTTTTGACAATATTAGAGTTTTCTGCTATTTGTTGAGGATTTTCATTAGGTCCAGAAAGTTGTCCTTCGAGTGAATTTGACCTTTTCAATTTAATAGCAGCCTGTTTAGATTGAAGTTCTCGTAACCATGAATTACAGACTGTGTTCATTGTTTCCTTTTTATTGACCTTTGGAGTAACTTCAGTATTCCTAAGAATCTGGTTACGTTTTTCTCGTAACTGTGCTAATAATGATCCTTTAGGTATCTGAGTATCATTCGTCATATTACTAAGTGAATTGTAGTCATCCATATTTTTTATATTGTTCAGTTCCTCTTCGAGAGGAGTTAAATCTATAGGTGGCGGTGGAGGAGGAAATTCCTCACTGGGTTGTCTGGAGTGATTTACTGAATTCATTGGACTGGGGTAAGGAGGCAGTTCGAATATTTGTGGCGACCTCCTTATTGGTAAAGCGCAATCTACTACGTCAACTCCTTGATTAAATGCATTGCTAAGATTCTGAATATTACTTTGTGTAGGTTGTATGACAGGCATATGTTCATTCTTAACTGGACTTTGCTCCTGGTGAATCATGGCCTTAGTAACAACCATTCGAAAGTTTTGAGATGGAGAATCATCAAGTCTATAAGGGTTCATTTGCTGACCATCATAAGAGGACGGTAAGAAAGGCAAAGATTGTGGTTCATCACCATACTGTTCCGAAAATCCTCCATCTTCTTCATTATCTTGTTGCATGTAAGAGAAGTTATCTCTAGTCACAGATGGCTGTGGTTGACAATGTGTGCCATGCTCCATCACTTCTGTATCAAACTTAGGCCCGCTAAGCTGGGAAGTGGTTCGTAACGGTGGTGGTGGCGGAACTTTTGTGGCAGTAAGTATTTTGCCAACGCTACCGTGTATACTTTTCCTCATAAGTTTACTTCTTTCTAGGTTCGGATTTGTTCCACTTGCGGTTGAATATTCTAAATGGCCTTCAGATAAATAACCACTTAAGTTTGTTTTATCATCGCTTTTTCTTCTTCCGACTTCACCATCATCTACAGATGAAATACGTTTTTCTTTGTTCGGTGCCTCATTGTTTCCGTCCGCACCTTCTGTTAAGTCAGGCATAGACCGATTTTTTCTTCTTATCAGTCCACCCATTAATAATTTTCTTCGTATTTTATGTTGTTTTTTACTTGCCTTCTTATCGTCAGTAGTTATTTCTTCTTTTTTCTCAGTAGCTACTGGTATTTCTTTACGAGCACGACCTCGGTCTTCACTTCTTGATCGTTTTTCTCTCACTTTTTCATCGTCTCGCGATTTATGTCGTGGTGGGCGCTCGCAAGGTGGATTATTGATATCGTCTTCAATAGACTTCGGAGATTTCTTGGCGGAGGTTTTCTTTTTAGGTAATGTAGCGTAAATTTCAATAGTAGCAGAGGCATTTTCAAGACCTCCTTTTGTATTTCTAACGGGTGCTATTTGCGGAATTTCAGTAACTCTACTTTTACCAGCCATACGTCTTTGCAAACTTCGTGAGCGCATAACACAAGTGTTATGTTTCATCCGTGCCACAGTCATTGTATGTGGATTATTATATGGCGCTTCCATTGCAGCTCGAGCTTTAGATGTAGCAGCATCACATAGAACTACAGCAGTTTCGTAGTCTGCTGCATCTTCCGCATGGCGGGATTTTTCAAGTAATCTGTCTGCTTCTAAACATAAAGCCTCACAGTTACCTCTTGCTTTTATATCTGGTAATTGAGCTAGATGCATGTTACGTATGCCTTGCTGAAGCGGTAGACTATCCGTAGACGACAAGGAATACGAATCATATCCTGCATCACACGAACCGCCACTAGACAGTTCGCCTTTACGAGTAGGACTACTTGGCACACTGCCTGGTCCACGACCTCTAGTATATATGTAAGGACTCTCCATTGACGACGAGGCGGATGAAGCACTATTACGGTCCCCGCTCCAGTTGCCGGAGTCTCTTCGTACTCTAGGTCCTGAGCTATCTGAACCTGATCCTGTACTCATACTGCGACCTAATTGGGTATGACGACTATTTTCAAGCATATTTTCTACACTTTTTCTACTAATGTAATCGTTTTCGTTATCAGGTCCAGGAGTTACAGCACGTCTAGGATAGATTTGTGCTAGACTGGTGATTTGTCGATCAGGAGCTGGTGTAATTGCTCGTCTCGGCTCTGGTGCTGGAAATGGGATCACATCTTTAGGAGCATGGCGCGTGTCACACGGTGTACCATCCACCGCAGCGTACAGTAAAAGCAAAGGTTGAAATCTCCCTTTGCAACATTTCTCTACAACTTGCGACCATTCGGGGCCGACTTCTTTCACATCGGCGTCATCAAAATATATCCATAGACGCAGTTTACTATGGAAAAAGAAAGTTGAGTAATGTTTGCCATAGTAGGTTACGAGTCCTACGAGCCTATGCGTGGCTCGCGTAGCCCATGACCAATCTGCACATGAATGAAAGGCGTCGGCCGGACGTAGTTCAGTACCGAGAGCTGCATAGACTGCCGCTACGTGTTCAGCTGATGGTCTTTCAGAGTCCCATACCATGCCAATGGATAGAATTTCCGGACGATTATTTAATGTTCGGCATATTTGTATTTTCGCTCCGCATGCGTTCTGAAATAAAAAAATGAATTCTTGAAATAAAGTTTAAACTTAAAACATTTCAGTTACATTATAGTCATAAGTCTACTAGCCATTCCGAATGAAAATTATTAATAAAATCCAGTCTGTTGATCAAAGGTCTTGTTTAAATATTAAAGTGCTTTGTGCTTTATTGAATTTATTTCATAAAAGTATTTCTACTCTATATAAGTTCGATATATAAATTAGTCTTATTGAATGTTTATTTTATGAACAAGAATATAATATGTCTATGTAATTACTCTATTATTATGATGTGACATTATAGATAGTAAACTATAAAAGACTATAGAGTAAAGTATTGTTAATAGAAAACGTAACTTACCGGACAATCTCGAATGTCGCCCATGCCGCCGGCCTGTTTTAATAATAATCCGAAGCTATCCCCATGTTCTCCCAAGGCAGCTTGCGCTGTCAAGGCAGTTGCAGATACATAATGCACCATCTGGAATGAAAACATATTTTTTTGTAAATATTTAGGTATCTACAAAGTTATGAGATGCGTAAAATTTATTTAGTATACGTGACAACTAAAACCTGAAAATAATTGATTAAGTTTGTATCTCTTAAAGACTTTCATTGCAAATATAAATTACAAAAGAAGAAAAGAATCATAGAAACCAATTAAAATTTGCCAATAAAAATGTACCTAACTTATGTACACAAAAACGGTCGAATTGATCCTTCTTACTTTTAGTATGTAGAAAATAACAACATCATTATATACCTGAGTAAATCGCAGCGGCTTCGATGTGGCATTACATGACCCGCACACGGATTGCTCGATGAGCATCATTGCAAACTTTCTATGAGGCACACAGTGTGCCGCTCTGCAGGCGTCATCGTCTTTTCTGTCTGCGGTTGTGGTAGCCACGTGAGCGTGGACCCTTAGGAGTAGGTGTTCGAAACATTCACTGGCGTCCGCCATGCAGCCCAGTTGAAAGCGGGCTCCACCGCCCCCAAGAGCCCGTCGCAGCGCGTCGGCAGCTGGGGCTCGCTCCGCTGACCATTGCAATTGCGTAAACAATTCCTGTTGAAGAAAACTTCCTATTAGTATACTTTTGACAAATTTCTAAAGATTCGCCATATATTATTTCGCAATATATACATAATATATATCACACGTGACTTGATTATTGTTATATAATGTGCTAAACTGGGACATGGTTCATCTGAGTAGATACGGCCAAATTAATACCAAATATCACCCCAATAAAATTCAATATTGTGTAACGTAACCTTATATCATAAACTATATAATATGATTCTATAGTGCATATGAGCAATAGTTCTCAACTTTAATAATAATGTATTCAGACTAGTGAATGAGCGACAGACATTTAAAAAGAATGTTATATTTCTTCAAAAATTTCTTATTTATTATAATATATTAGTTACTTAAGGTAAACTACCACTGACATTTTATATAAATACAGGCAATTTAACGCAAAGTAAAATTTCACCAAAATTCAACAGAATTAATGTTCTGTAACTCCCATGCAATATCAATTCTGAAAACTAAGTTATGCCTCCGAGCTCGGTAATTCGTATACGGGATACAGAAGTTATAAAATATTTCGACTGTAATTATCATACCTCTCTTGTAATATCGTAACAATAAAAAGAAACTAATATTTTTCTGTGTATAATTATAATTCTGCAAAAACAGATTTCTAAGGATTTGTATCTTTTTATTTAGTAACCATATCAGACGCAAATAAATAATTCTATTGATTATTAAAATAGGTTTATGTTTCAATAACAATATAATATTATACCGTTACTTTCTGTAAACGTGTATATTATGTAAAACAGTAGGGTTGGAACGGAAAACGTTATAATTTGATTTCTGCGAAAGGTTTTTGAACGGAAAAAACCAGAATCTTAATAACAGGCTGTCGAAGAAAGTGCTGGTTCGAGCGTAAATATTGTTAAACGATTTCGAATCTTAACGGTTGTATCGTAAGGTTCAAGTTGAGTGACATAAAATATGACATGGACCAAAACCAGTATAGCACGAATAGGTCACAAACACGCCATGACCCAGCCGATATCATCGTAAGACGTAGGTACAAACGAATAAGCTGTTTTGTATTTCGTAATCCGCTTTGTAAAACAGACAGGTTTTTAACGAATTGACCGTCACCATTTCTTCTTCGAAATAGTATCTAATACTAGCTGTATACTACGGCCTTGCCCACGTGAAATTAGCTAAAAAATACACTACGTGTAAAATTAGAACACTATATGTTAGTGTACCAAATTTAATTTTAAACCTTCTAGTAAGAAAGTGAAAGAGTACCAAACTTCTATCCATCCTCACAAACAGCAATTGACATTTAAAAAACACAACATTAGTGGGATTACTACATCATTTTTTTTATACTTATGAATTGTTGTTCTGTATACAACATATAAATATCTAGTAAATATTATTTGATTCTGTTTAGTTCATTTTATATCTTAATACGTTTTAGAAATCGATGGTATTCTAAAATACTTTTTACAATATAATAATGTTTTTCACAATATCTTTGTTCAAACATAATAAGAAACTCCGATTAAGTTTTTTGTAATCCATGTAACAATGTATTCTATGGATTACAAATCTGATTTTTTTATTATAAAAGTGTTTTACCTTCCACAATCAAATAGTACATACATAATTGTATGAACTAAACTGTAAAATGAGGATTATTAGCAACTGAAGTACTATGAAACTCAGTGTTGCAAACAAATCAGTTTGATAATAATTGTCTGAATAATACCAATAAATAACACGTGGTTAACGTTGTTGGTGTTATTAAGCCAATTTATTTAATCGCAAATAATCACGGAATTTATCAAACATAAAATGACGTTTGTGGTTCGAAACGGCGGATGTTGTGAGAGCGAGACTGAATACAGACAGCCATTGTTGCGTGAGAATGGTGTAGCCCACGCTCCCATACTCGCCGCCCGCCTAACGTAGCGCCGCTGATGTCGTGACCCTATCTGTGCTTCTTGCAATTTCTGATCGCCTAGTACCAATAGCTTATATTAACATATAGCGATCATGCGAAACGCCTCAACCGATTTAAAGAAAGGAGGGAGTTGTCATTATACTGTATTTTTTGTGTAATATACGAAGATGAAGTGAATTAAATAAAAATATATAATATACAATAAAGTGTTTTTTTTTCGCTTTTTATACACTCGTATAAAAAGCGAAAAAAAAAAACACTTTATTGAAACACTGTATAGTCTGGCTTATTTACCATAATAATATTATTTATGAGCTGCAATTGTAAAGAACAATGAAAAAAGTTAAAATTATAAAACCAAACCTAGCAAGCAATATAATAGTATTAACTTACTAGTCAATATTATGAAGGAAGATAGTGTTGACAATGGAAATTACGATGAGGACTTATTTGGTCTTCAACATTATATTAATATGTATAATACAACGTATATTATATGGTCGAGCATATATAATAATAAAAAAATGTAAAATGCTTCTAATTTTAAATTGTTTGTTTTTTTCTTACAATTCAAAAGCTGCTTCCATTTACAGTTCATCTGATCAATATTTATCAATCACTAGATAACAAAATGCATGACGCGTGTTCGAATATGAATAATAAAATATTTAAAGAGCTTATTTATCGTCGACGGAGTCACGTTATTTTCTTACGAGACAATAGACATTCAAGGCGCAACCTATACCGGAGGTTTGCGCATACATACTTAAGCAGCAGTGTTAAGTATTCTTTGTACAAATTGCTTTTTGAGGCTTCCACAATAGCCTTTAGGTCAGCGACGTACCATGCATCAGAAAACATGTCCGACCAACTCGGTACCTATTATTTTTACCTGCCGATTTAATTTCCTTTCAGTTTATTAACAACGTTAAATAATATTTTGCACAAACTAACGAAATAAATTTAATATTACATCCTATTAGGTAATGGTTAATTATATATTCAATTAATAAATGTCCATTAATATTTAATGAATTAAGGAATTCATTATCCTAATTGTATGCTTATGTTATACAGTCGTGAGCTAATTTGTGCAAATTGTAGCGTTGATGTCTTTTAAGTGTCAAACGTTTCACATATAAATCGAACCTTATAAATCGTTAATATGTAACATATATACTCATAGAAGATATATGATTATTATTATATTATTTATTAATTGTAACGTAGAGAAATTTTCTTTGAACATAAAAAATAGGGATAAGAAAATATCAGATGCCGTGTTCACCACGTGGCTCATGCATGCATGCATGCTACCGAACCAAATATCTAACATCCTAAATCCACGTGACTACATGAGTACACTTAAGAAAGAAAAAAGATCTACTCATTTATATATAAAAACTTACACGAAAAAGAGTCAACGTAGTTTGATTTAGTAATGGCGTTTGTTCAATCAATTCCCTTCTTGACGGTGCGGATGGCGGCCGTGACCGTGGTAGGGTATTATTCCTCACACCCGCCACCGAGTTGCTGAGCAGATCCTTCGGCGGCAAAAGCTCGATGTCCCACAGACCTTCAACTTTCTTCTGCATCGCCGTCCCGTTCTTCGTTCCAGCTCCATCGTTCGTTTCTTTACGTTTATACCGAAATTTTATCATCTCACTGAGTCCGCATCGCTGGCTCGATCACTCGATTAACTCACGATTCGATCAACTCGGATTTATTCGAATACATCGGCTGTATAAGGGAAATATACATTGCTATTGTGTCCGCAAGCAACGTATATGGCAATAAGTAAGCGAAACACGTACTATTACTATGGAGAAACTTTTCATTTGAATTCTATTCGAATGGTGTGGCCTACGCTTTGCTATGCACGCACTATTCCATATATAAATCCTATTTTATTACTGGATATGGTACATAGAAAAAAACAATTTCGGCGGGAAACAGTTGCACGAATAAACACGTCAGGTAAAATAGCAGGTGTTGGAACTACAGGTCCAAAAACACAACTGTCGCGTTGCATCGAGTCACTATTATCGAGGCACAGTATCGCGTCGCACAAATCACATTAATGACTATTTATATAATAACTAGTTTTGTAACACTAAACAGGACCGTGTCTCTACTTTGTACGGTCGAATCTAAGAAGGCTTGCATATAGACTGGCTTGAGACAACGGTGAAGAGGCGCGGGGGCGGGAAACCCAAGCACCTCTACCTTCCAGGTACTATGGTTTTTGTAATCTATTGTTAACGTAACTCACGTGGGTTATTCTCTGTCACTCTCTAACACATACTACGTTTAATTAGCATGTCTCTACGCTACGTGAGGCTTTGTTTATATTTCTATAGCGATAACTAAAGCTAAAAGCTTGGGTAGAGTTATAAAACTTTAGAACTCTGTTTGTTTCTTCACGTGTTACCCAGATGTGTAAAATAACTTTAAATTATTTTAAAGCAAAAATTTTCTTAATCTTAGAATTACATACTACATTAACAATAGGAACAAGAGATGCGAGAAATGTATATATTTTTTTATAAACCAGAGGAAGGAAGGTTTTGTTGAAAATCGTGGTATTTCTGTTTCAGCTATTAATTCTGACACTAAACCGACATTGACTTTACTAAGTATTGTGACTCAACATCCTCATGTCGCAAAGGTCAATTTGAGTGAAACTTTTGGTGTCACAAGCGTTCATGAGACGGACTGTGTAAAGATAGCATCCTTCTTGTATAAAAAAAATGCACGTGCAACAGAATACCAGAGAATTATTATATGTATACTCTATAATTTCGACAACTTCTACATTAATGTTTTAATAAAAATATCTATTAGTAACGTAAGCATACAAACAGTCTGCTTAAAGCATAAATATCTTAGCGAATATAAAATTTGTTCCATAAAATAAGCTACTTTAATCATGACAAAAATTTTAAGTACGGTGGTATGTCCTAGGTAAACTTAACGATTTCAATAAAGAAACATCAAAATTGGCGACATCACCATCTCAAAACTCGTATACTAACTCTCAGCCCTACAATGTCGTCAGTATGAGTGCGATGCACTCACTTTATGACAAATAAACAATATGGCGCTATAAAACTGACGTGTGCCCTATTGTTGCCTTAAAGTAATGAGTCACATTTGAGGAATGTAAGGGATGAATAAACAAATAACGCAGGACCCTCTCACGTACGGTATATATACAAAATAAAAAATCACGACATTCCCATTTTTCTTGCACTCACTTCATATTTAGTTCTCATGAACGAACTTTCACGGCGTGAGTCAGTCTGTAAGTATGCCGAAGTTGTAAAATATGTGGTCAGCTTCCTCCGATTATGTTTGTTGATATATATTCTAATTAAGGTAGATATTAATACTAGTTAATCGAGTGTCTTCTTGAAATTTCCTTTAGAAAAAAAATTATGTATTTTATTTCAGACATACCGAGTCTGAAATAAATTATTGCACTTGCATTTATTAGAGAAATCTTGTATATAGTAAAACAAATGTATAACAAAATTCTATTCTTTATAAAAACTTCATGTTATTTTTAAATATACATATTTAAATAGTATATTAATTAAATCGTCTATAAATAATTAACAAGAACATTAACGTATATCGGGTATAATTAAACCTCGTTATCATTCACACGAATCATTTAGTGTTATAATCTGTGCGTGATTCATACGACGAACATATATTATATGTAATCATTACCTATGCTTTTATAGCTTTGGATTTCTTGGAACTACGCTGAGATACGATTGAAATCGTGAAGCTCTTAAAGGAAAAACCGAATAAAAACGCCTACACACTTAAACTTGTCTTGATATAGAATTTACCTAATACGGCTTTTTGCAATGAAACATTGTAAGAAAACTACAAGTATACCTATACTGTATGTACTGAGAATTTTAAAATTAATAGCAACATGTGAAATCATTTTTGTACAAGAACACAAGACAAAGTAAATGATACTCATATAGGAAGTGATACACAAGTTATCAATTAGCTTATATCGAGCAGAGTGAGCCAACCGTGAGACGTTCTCACATGTAAGATTGTGATCCGATTACAGTCTACTTTATAATATAATGGACGATGTGAAAAACTTTATTACTTTAGAAACTATGATATTTCAAGACATACATATATTGAAACAAATTAGAGCTCCAAATTATATTCTTGTAATTAGCCAATAATATTCTTATATTGAAACTAAATACAGCTCCAAATTATATATTTTTTAATTAGCCAATATTTTATTTGTTATGGAATGGCAAACAAGTTTAATCCACCAGCTGTTAAATGGTAACTGTCGCCTATATGGTATACATGAATAGCACCACGGACATCATGTTATCATGTGAGGTTCGTAAAACTCTCATACATCACCATTGCTGAAAACTAAGATGTCACGCCTCTTATTCTAAAATTTTACTCCCTTATCATATTCTTCAACCTAAACACTATCTACAAAGCAAGATTGAAGTCCACGCAAAAGACTTTTTATAGAGTCTATCTCTAAACGAAGAAGCCTAATAAGTTAGATTTAATCGATCTCTAATGACTTTTAACTAACAATATACGGCTAATACGAAATAGAGTACTTAAGATGTGCAATTAAAAGCTTGCCTTGTAATCTGACTGTACTATCTATAAGATTAGAACAAATAACTTGGTTTAACAGTTGGTACAATATGCGCGAATAAACTGGTACTTCGCTATCCGCAACGAGTTTCACCACAATTCACCGAATACGGGATTTTACATGGCTCAGATCCGTGAGTATCACTATCAAATCATCATGTTACTCATACTATTACGACAGTAACCTTACGTAGTGATAGTAAAGTTTTACCGAGGTACACTTTGTAAAAATAATTTGAATTGGCAAACAGTTTCCTTAAGCTGTAACTGGGCAATAGGGATAGTGATAAAAATTAATACAGGCATAATAGGCCGAAAGGTCTTATAGGAATACAAAAATATTGAAGATTTGAATAAGTCAGTGAAATTACGTACAGGATATGGAGTCATAACAATCCTCTAATAACTTATGAGTGGTATTACAGGCGACCTATGATAATGTGATGTCAATAGTTATATATATATAGTCGTTGGTTACTATTTAGAATCAGATGGATCGTAGGCTTCTTTACTATTCTTGTTACGTAAAAATTATAATAATTGTAAGTTTTTTATATAAACACAACAATACAGCAGGTACCCCTAATGTAGGGATATTGGCTCATCTTTAGGACAATTATAAAATGAACCAATTTAGTAAATTGAATGGACATGTGTATCGAAAGCGAACTATGGCGTTACCAAGGTGTAAAGCAACAAACAATGTTCAATTGTGCTTTGCCGGAACACTTAATTATATAGAATCATGTATTGCAGAAATCTATTGTATTATAATACGTATTGGATTCTATGAATTAGGTTCAAGGTGTATATGAAATTATACTCCATTAGATATAACAGATAAGTACAATTACTTGCAATATTATCTGATTAGAACAAAAATAAGAATCTACTGTATAACACATATCTTTGGCGGTTTTAATGCTGAGCAGCATATGTTCAAATGTACATTTAACTAAAATACCTCTGCATATATTGAAATAAATATATGTATATATATATATATATGTATATATATATATATATGTATATATATATAATATATGTTTAGAGCTAATTAAATGTTCAACCCATTATCAATACGACAAATGAGTCATATTACAAGTACCAGAGAAAGTAAATAAAAAAAAACAATTAATCGATAGTATGATGAACTCTAGTAATTGTAAATCTCTTGTACCGATTCCGATTAGTTCTCGTATTTATCGGCGTCACAATCGATTTGCACACGCAACATTAAATTCAATTGCAACGCAGCAACTAGTCGTTGTGCAAGTATTCGATAAAAGAGCGATATATAGATATATATTTATCGTAGATCGTCCATATAAAATATAATAGAGCGCTATGACAATAAACAACAATCAAGCCTGATTTTGGCGGGAACGAATATCTAATTTATCAAATGAATATCTAATTTACCAAATGAATATCTAATTTCGAATAATCAACTTCGTTCATAATAATATTAGGCACATCTATTCACCACATCATCCAGGTGACGGAAATGTGCAGAAAACAAAGAGAAGAGAAGACTGGTATAATTCTATTTGGACTGAATGATATAAATATTTATAAATATTACATCAATAATAAAAACATTTGTTAACTAAAAACCTTCAACCTTCACGTCTATAGATACAGATCTGTATTTAATTAGAACTTGTTTAATCTGTACCTCTTGTAGATCATCAGCATTGTTAAATATGGTCTGGTAGTCCTTATTTGAAAGTACTGACGACCTTAAGTGGCTCGCAGCTAAAGTGGTAAGACTTGCAAGCAATTAGGAAGCAAGGACAATAATGTTTGGATTTAATTTTGTAACGAATGCAAACGTGGGTTAGAAATTTGGCGAATTTGCGTATGTATCAAGTGTATGTTGATTTGTCACAGATATGTCTCTATATGTGTGGGTGAGTACGAAACAATGGGGACCGGATAATTGTCTGTAATTAGTGACGCATTACAACAACTGTTCGACACATAGCTATCGATATATTTAAGTGGAGTATTCTGTTTGGTTGAAAAGACCATCAACAAACTCATATTGTTCATTATTCTGTTACTAGTACCTTCTTTCATAATATGACGAACTATCTATAATTTCGAATTATTGTTATACGTGCCTTTATATAGTTTATTTTTTATAATTCCTCGCAAGCAACAATAGAATAGCCTAGAATAATTTATTAAATATTCCTAATTGAACACTATATTGCCAATTACTTGGCACATACGCACGGACATGGATAGAAAAATATCCATATTATATTTTCAATTTCTAACAGTATCATACTATAGAATAAAGGAATGCAATAGCCATCTATCATGTTGAACCCAAGATTCCTTAGGCTTGCAAATGCAGCACCTGGCATCCCGTTATCGACGCCCATGAATATAAATAGACTTCTTAATGCACTTGTAACACAAAATAATGTATGGCAATTAATAATGCGAGTAAGGGTGGGCTTATCTCAGTAAGTGATCTGTTGTAAT